GGGGTCCGTAGTTGTACCCCCTCTCCCTTTTTTTTTTTTTTTTTTTTTTTTTAGGTTTTTGCTATAGGGTGCATGCACTTGCCGAAAAGAGACAGAGAGACAATGAGAGGGAAAGTGAGAAGTTACCCCCTGGGGGATGGCGACTCTGCAGTCCCTTCTCGTCAATTCTTCTCTTGGGATTTGGGCACGCAAGCACACATGCTCAGCATGTTTCAAGCCACTCAATCCAGGATTCGAACAGTAGCTCGCCATGTAGAAGTCTAGCACCTTAACCACTATGCCACCTGCTGGTCCACATTTTTGTTGTTTTAAGTCACCAACTTTGTGATTCTTTGTTACAGCAGCCCTAGAAAATGAACATACCTACCTTCCGCTGCCGCCTGACATTCATGCCAGAGAGACCTGAAGCAAAACTGCCTAGCTGAGCCCGTCAACCCGATTCATGAATGAAGTCAGCAACTGCTACTGTTCTAAGTCACTGCTTTGGGGCAGTCGGTGATAACCAGCATATAACCAGGTCACCTGCGTCTGCTACAATGACAGAACTGACCAGGAGGGAATTCTCGACCCCACCTACTACCAACTCCCAGCCCCGCCTTACACAACAGCTTTGTTTTTAAATGTCTGCTGTAGGGGGTGCTGGCAGGTGGCAGGTGATTGAGGTCATGGAGTCCCACATGGCTGACCATAGTTCAAGTCCTGAACCTGGTAGCCTGCTTTCTCACTTTCCCTCTCCCTCTCTCTCTCTCTGGCCAAATTAAATAATAATAAAGTAAAATGAATAATTCTTTTAAAAAAGAAGTCTGCTATAGGGTGCATGCACTCACAGAGACAGAGAGAAAGAACACACCCCCAGGGGGAATGGCCACACAGCAACCGCTTCTACTCTTGGCATTGTGGATACCCATGTACAAGCACCTGGCATGATTTTCAAGCTGCTGGGTCGAGGACTTGAACCACACAGCCTGCCGTGTAGGATCCAGCTGCCTGACCTCCACACCACCTGCTGGCTACAGCAAACAGCACTCAACACTGGGAAAGAAGCCTCCAGTCACCAGTCGTGGCTGACCTGCCGAGTTCTAGTACCTTCTGCCCATTTCCCTGGCACGGCTGCCTCTGCAGTTACGATGTCCTCTGATTTTTAAGATTTGCTATAGACTGCATGCATTTGCTGAAGAGGGAGCAGGAGCGAGCGAGCGAGCGAGAAGTGAGAAACTGCTCTCCAGGGTGGACAGTCGCACCAGTTTCCTCTCCTCCACTGTCCTCTTGGGATTTGGGGCATGCATGCACATGTACCCAGCGTTTGTCCAGCCATCAGGTCCAGGACTCGAGCCGCTGTCGACCATGTGGGATCCAGCCACCCTAACCACCCTGCCGCCAGCTCCTACATGTTCTCTCGTGACTGCACTGTAACCAAAGCGGGGGTGGGTGAGGATTTCTTTGAGTGAACGTGGCTATCGATGGTAGAGTATCCCGGAAAGGCTCACGCTCAGAGCTGGTGTCCACTAAGTGGCAAAGCAGGAAGCACGGTTGGATGTACATCATAATTTGCTTGGGGGAAGTGCACGGCCAGGCTGGCCACGGCCAAGGACATGAGGACACTGCCTGAACGGTGGGGCCACGCCATCGCCCGTGCTCAATTCTGTGCTGTCACTTCACGCACAGCCTGTCACACCCAGTGCAGTATGATGAGCTCTCCTTCACAGGCAGGACACGGGGTCTAAGAGACTGAAGCAGGAAGGGTGACACCACTGGGGGTGGAGTCAGGCCCAGAGCCAGGGCATGCACCCCCATGGAAGGGCTTCCTTCTCTACCAAGCGCGCTGCCAGGTGCACCCGTGACACCAGAGGGCGCCTGCCCACACGCCCGGAGTCGGCTGCGTCAGGGAGAAGCGAGGCCACGTACCGAGGTGCAGCTGCACGTCCTTCACCTCCAGGGTGCTGGACTTGCGGTGCCGGGCGAGCTGGCAGGCTGCCGTCACCACGCTCTCGATGAAATCGTCCGCTATCTGCAGCAGCATCTGGGGAGGCAAGTGCAGAGGAGGCAGGCCTCAGGCAGGGCGGCCTGTGCGCTGCCCAGGCTACAGAGCGGGTGGGAGAAGACAAAGGACCATTCCCCGGGTGGGGCACGCGCAGCTTCCCGAGGGTGTGCTTTCCTCTCGTGACTTCCGCTATGAGGTACGTGCATACGCTGGAGAGAGGGAAAGTGGGACAGCACCCCAGGGGGATGGCCACACTGCGGTCCTTTCTCCATCTCTCCCTCCTCTAGGAATTTTGAACACGAATGCCCTTGTGCCTGGTGCTGTGTATTTTTCAAACCGCCCAAAGCACAACTCGAACCACGCTACCAGCCATGTGAGATCAAGCCACCCTGACTACTGAGCCAGTCGGGCCACGATGTCCTTTCCACAGTTCCTACCCAGCGAAGATCAACTAACCGTAACACCCCACCCTCTTCCTTCCAAGGTAGGTAGGAAAGAAAAAGTGAACCACTGTAAGGCCTCACGCCTGCATCCCCACCTCCCTCAGTCCCTCACTACAGCCCCGCGAGGACAGGGGACGTGGTCTTGGCCTCGCTCACGTGGGAGAGGCTAAGATTCAGGAACACTCATCTGCTCAGGCCGTGTGATGGGGACAACGGAAGCAGGCTCCCCCTTCGAGAGTTCCGAGTCCAAATCGAAGCGCTTTGCACTTCGGTATCAATCATCCCTGATACACGACAATCTTCATCACAGAAACTGGAACCCTCCTCTCAGGGCACTTCAAAAACTTCATGGAAAACAGGTGCTATGGAAAAACTATGCATGGATTTCTGAGCATTTCTGCGCCAGGATAAGCTCATTCTCCATTCCCCTTTTCCACGCACCCCAGCATGGCTGGTGTGAATTGAACGGCACAGCCCTGGGAAAAGAGTCCGGCATCTCTTGAAGGCTCCACAGTTACCACGCGGCCCAGTAACTCCACCACTAGGCCAGCCTATACCACGAGAAAATGAAAACATGCCATACAAAAACCCGTAGATTTTTTTTTTTTGAGAGGTTTTCACTCTAGGGTGCATGTACTCGCCAGAGAGAAAGCGAGAAATCATCCCCCGGGGGGGAAGGCCCGCTGCGATCCCTTCTCCATTCTCCTCCAGGATCTTGGGCACGTACACACATCTGGTGTAAGTTTTAAGTCACCAGATCCGGGACTCGAACTGTGGTTGACTATGTTTGAATCCAGCAAAGTAACCATTATGTCATCTGCTGGTCCCTGTAAATAGTTTTATATGGGGGGAGCTGGTAGATGGCGTGGCTAAACTCCCACAAGGCCGACTGTAGTTTGAGTCCAGACCTGGTGGCTTGATTTCTCACTTCCTTTCTGTCCCTCTCTGGTCAAATTAAAATAAAGGAAGGAAGAAAGAAAGCTTAATAATGTTTTAAAAGAATTATTTAACTTTATTTATTTGTTTACATACTTTAATGTGACCAGAGATGGACAGAGTGAGACAGAGAGAAAAAGGGCAGGCGACAGAGGGGGAAGTGAGCAAGGAAGCCACCAGGCCCAAACCAGGGTCGGCCAAGTGGGAGTCCAGCCAGCATCCTTAACACCATGCCACCTGCCGGCCCCAAAACAATTCTTTACAAAGTAAAAGTTTTCACTAGAAAAGGCACATGGACGCTCCCAGCAACACCACTGAGAATAGTGAGAGGATGCCGAGAGCCCACGCACCCCGACCACTGAATGGAGACAGGTGGGGTCTGGGTACGAGGGGCAGCAGCCCTAAGGAGGGAGCGGCCGGCCCACGGCGTGATGGCTGGAGCCCACGTGGCCAACTGCGCGGCCTGGGCCCCGGGCCCGGCGGCGTGTGAGCACGCAGAGGATGTGTACATGTGCGCCCAGAACCGTGAGAAGAGAACGGAGGCGTACAGTGTTCTCCAACGGACTGGGCTGAGAAGTACTTCATGTTATTAGGCGAGTTCTCTTTACAGAGGAGGAATGTATAGTGACTGAGTCCTTAAAAACATAACAAGGGGGCCAGCAGGCGGTGTGGTGGCTGAGGTGCTGGACTCCCACATGTTGACCGCGGTTCGAGTCCTGGACCTGGCAGCTTGTTTTCTCACTTTCCTTTTCTGTCTCTGGTCAACTTCAAAAAAAATAAAATAAATAAATGAATAAAAAATAAAATAAATACAGTGAATGAAATCAAATACAAAATAATTATTTTTTAAAAAAGAGAATGAGGACCCAGAAGGTAGCGTGGTGGTTAAAGATGCTGGATTCCCACATGGCTGGCGGCGGGTTGAGGCCCGGGAAGGCGACATT